TCCCTTCACCCGGGGGGGCGCACGCGTCCGCCCGCGCGCGGCCAGGACAAAGAGCGCGGCGGGGACCCGACAGACTGGCCCCTGTCGGCGGAGGCGGCGGAGCCCGTGCTAGAGAGGACGGGGACGCGGGCGCCGTCTCGCGGGGCGGCCGTGCCGCGGGGTAGCTTCCGGCCTTCGCCCGCCTCCAGGGCGAGGCTGCCCATTGGGCTACCCGCCCCGCGGGCCGGAGCCGGAGTGCCTTTTGGGCGGGCGAGCTGAGGTCATCCTCCTCCCGTCCCCACCAGCAACATCTCCTTAGCCTTCTCCAAGGTGCCGTGCACCTCGGGGCCCCAACGCCAGGTCAAGGGCCCAGAGCGCGTGGCTGGGAGTCCCCGGCAGCACCAGGCGCTAGGAGAGACTGATGGGTGACCATTAAGTGGCCAGCAACAAGAGTCGAAAGAAAGCTACTTCTTCCCACTAATGTGAGGAACAGGGCAAGGTGGGATCTTGGAGATTTAGCAAAGTAAAAGGATGTAAAGATTCTTGGGCCCTCAGCCTGTAGCTAACGCTTCCAAAGGGGACTGGCCTTAGGGGATCATGAAAACTTACTAAAGTCCAAAACAATTTTTAAATGCCCTGCAGAAATTTTTAAGTGGAAGAGGGAAGCTTAGGTGAGCTTAGTCTGGAGAATTCTGAATTGAACTCCACATGGCAGTTCTGGAGAGAATATTAGAAATGGGTTGTCTGTCCACACTGAGGAAAGGTTTAAATAGAGATACTGAAGGCTTAAGAGGAGAGTGGAAATTTGAATGGAAAGATGGACTGTCTCCTACCTTGAGCCTCAGAACCTGTTGGAGAGTGGCTATGAGTAAGATTACTAGGGTGGAGGTTAGTTTTTTCCAACCATTTTTATCTTTTATGGTGTCTCTTGGTGGACTGAGCAGCTCTTGCCTCAGGCACAAAGTAGCCAAAAGTACAAAAACTTCCTGTTAGCAGCCCAGACCTTCTCTAGTTATGAAGAACTTGTTCCATTTATGGAATCTCGAAGGAGTTTGTGGATCTCTCTCCCACAAGTGTTCAAGGGTTGTGTGCTAGGAGATTGAGGAGTTCAGAGAGGCAGTAAGAATGGCCAAGCAAGACTGTAAAGGAGACTTAGAAACTGGGAGGGTGAAAAGAAAGAACCTACTTATTTGCCCCCGCCTCCTTTTACGAAAGTCTGGGTAAAGGGCTGTTCTCAACCTTGAGCAGCAAGTTGCATTTCTATCCTTTTCCAAAAACATAGTACACTTTTGTTGAGGGCTACGCTGCTGGTGCTGGACACACAAAACTTACTTCCCGAATTATTGTGTTTTAAGTCCTGTTCCTCTTCTCCATTAGGATAGCCCAGTATAGAAGAGGAACAAACACCACTCACCAGGACAATATAAGGAGGGAGGATATTCCCTTCAGAATGAACAGCATCTCAAGAAATGGTGAGAGGGGAAAAAAAAACACATGTGTGTCAGCAAGCAATTTTTTTTGTTAGTTGGACGGTAGAATGTTTGTAAGATGAACTTATTGATGCAAACGGAGAGAAGGATCAGTTTTTAAAAGTTTTAAAACTTATGTGACTCGACAGTAAAAGCTAGTTAATTTGAAGGTTGGTCGTTGCTTTATTTGGTATGGAGAAACTATAGATTAAAGGAAAAGTATATATTCAATTCAACCTGGTTACACATCCTATCTGCCACATCTTCTGGGGCAATTTCTTCCTTGAATAAGTTCCTGTGAAATGGCATTTTGGTGCAGAAGGGTTTTCTCCCAGGAATTCATGGTGTTTTCATTCATGATTGCAGTCTGCTGCTTTGCTGTGAACTGGGGTCCAGGTGAATTAATTCTTCAGAAATCCTCCTTTTTCAATTTATAGACAGATCAACATGTTGAAACATATGTATTATATATACCTTTATCACATATTTGTTGTTGTTGAATACCATCTAGATGAAACTCACCCATAGCTGACCCTCCAGGATGTTTTCAGGGGCATAAATCGCACAGATGGAGATTGCCCATCTTTCTCCTGTGTTGTTTTTGTTGTTGTTGTTGTTGTTATATGCCGAGTAGCTTGTGACTCATAGCGACCTTATGTACAAGAGCCCTAAACCCTGCTCTATCCTGTGTAACAGCTGTTAAATTTGAACCAAATATCTTTAGCTTGGTGGTGTAAGTCCTCATGACCAAGGCACCAGAGCTCCCTTATCTCATGTGTTACACATAGATAGAAATTGCCATCACATATGTTATTGTGTGTCATCGAGTCACCTGCAACTCATAGCGACCCTATGTACAACAGCTCTGAAGCCTGCCCTATTCTGAGCCAGTCTCACTGACTCCAGCACTCCTACCCCCATTGCCTAAGTTATAGAATCAACCCATCTCATCTGATATCTCCCTCTCTTGCGTTGTCCATCCACCCTTCTGAGCATGATGTCCTTCTACAAGGATCGGTCCCTCCTGGCCTTGTGCCCAAAGTATGTGAGATGGAGATTCAAAATCCTAGCCTCCAAGGAGAAACTTGGTTTTACCCTCTCCAGTGCAGACCTGTTTGTTTTTTTGGTGGTCCTTGTTCAAGAGTCTTCCCCAGCACCACAACTCAGAGGCATCAATTCTGCTGTCATCCTTAGTCATTGTCCAGCTCTATAATGCATAGCATTATATATATAGAGATATAAATTGCCATCAAGAAATCATAACTGGCTCATAATTAATCCTCCATTGGGTTTCTAAGGTGGTAAATTGCAGGCAGGAGAATCCCAATCTTTCTTCTGTGGAACTTCGGGTGTATTTGAACTTTTAGTCACACAACTTTCTTTGGATTAGCAGCAAAATTTCCTACAGACTATGCCAACAGAGGTCCATAGATCTATATATATGAAGATTCTTTTAGTTACACTATTGCTATTACAAGATATTAAAAGTGGGATATTTTAGTAAAGATCCTAGACATAATCCGAGGGCCCAAAAACTCTTGAGATTTGAGTGTGACAACAAAATAAAGAGGTAGAGGTGTTTAGTTATATTTTTATAGAGCATCTGCTATGGAAGAAACCATATTAACTTGTAAAGGAAATAGATTCAAATTCTCATTCTACCAAGATTTTGTGTGATTCCTAGCAAATTACTTGTTTGCACTTGCTTTTTCTTGTATTACAGAATGATATTGTGCCAAAGGTTCTAAATCCTCTTTCTCAAAATCTCCATGATTATTCCATGAATTTGAAATCATGGCAGAAGTTCCACTCATCATTCAGTTAACAGAATACTGGTGGCAAGGTACGGTCAGGTTGCTTCTGAGGTGGTTTTTACTCCTAGCAACTGTTTGCACAGCAAAACTAAACACTGCCAGGTCCTGCTTCATCTTTACAATTATGCTGTATGCTGTAACAGGACC